TGGTACCATCATTTATTCAAATTGGCTTCTCATCAGCTGCTTACAGCCTAAATAAATTTTGAGGATTAAGTACAGAAACGTTTTAACATACTTGCAAATTTTACATGTTGTCAGTTGACAGAAAGTTCCACATATTCCCCTTGATGAATTGTGGAACTTTCTGCCAACTGACATCATGAAAAATTTGCAAGTATGTTAAAGCGTTTCTGTACTTAATCCTCAAAATTTATTTAGGCTGTAAGCAGCTGATGAGAAGCCAATTTGAATAAATGATGGTACCATGTTATTCTGCACAAACCGCTGTTGTTCTCGCTTTATTCAAATGAATCTCTAAAGCCGACTGGCACGATTACACCAAGATTATATGGACTTCCAAAAGTGCACAAAATTGGTTTACCACTTCGACCAGTGTTAGATATGTGTAATTCCCCATACCATGCCACAGCAAAATGGTTAGTCAAGCTCCTGAAACCTCTGCATAATGAGTTGGTAAAACATAGCGTAAATGGCAGTTTTGAATTTGTTGGAAAAATAAGAGATCTTAATGTGAAGGACAAGTTTATGATATCTTTTGATGTATCCTCCTTGTTCACCAACGTACCGTTAATGGAGACAGTGGATTTTATATGTGAGGAGATTACTACACGAAACATAGACATCGGCATTTCTGTATCCACCTTGAAGGAACTTATTTTAAGATGTACAATGAACGTTCATTTCTTATTCAATAAGGAATATTACAGACAAATTGATGGTGTAGCTATGGGTTCCCCATTAGGCCCAATCCTAGCTGATTTTTTCCTCGCTAAGTTAGAGAATGGACCACTGAAAGGAGTAATTAGTGACTTGGATTTCTACTGTCGATATATGGATGATACATTTCTGGTCATAAAAAACGAGGACGACGCAATGAACATCCTTGACAAGTTTAATGATGCCCATTCAGCAATAAACTTTACTATAGAGAAAGAAAGTAATGACTGTATCTCATTCCTAGACGTCTTCATGGCAAGGAAAGAAGATGGCACACTAAGAAGGAGTGTGTACAGGAAACCTACTACAACAGGACAGTACACTCATTTTTTGAGTTTTGTACCTTTGAAATATAAACGCAACCTGGTAAAGTGTCTGGTTCATAGAGCTAGGTTAATCTGTTCAGACGACTGCTTCAATGAGGAGCTTAAGATTATTAGAGAATTACTTAGAAAAAATGGTTATCCAGATAAGTTTATTGAGAAAAATATGAATTCATCACCTAGGACAGTGACTATGGCAACAGTTCCGAAAAAACCACTGTTCATAAAACTTCAGTTCCTCGGCGACAACATCAGCGAAATAATAACACAGCGACTGAAGAATGCAGTTAAAAGAGCTTATTATGCAGCAGAGGTACGCTGTCTCTTCACAACCACACCTATCCTACGTTCGAGTAATAAGGATAAACTACCTAAATTCGCCTCTTCTATGTGTATCTACCAGTTTGACTGCAGCTGCGGAGCCAGCTACATCGGGCGAACAATTAGGCAGGTTCATCATCGTATTTCCGAACATCATCCGGCATGGTTAAGCAAGGGACAAACAAAATCTATTCGTAGCTCTATTTTAGCCCACCTTGTAGATAGTGAGCATAAGGTTGATGTTAATACTGCATTTAAAATTATTTATCGCATTCCTACTAATCTTAATTTTGCTTTACGAGTTCGTCTTCTACATACAGCTGAAGCAATAGGAATCCACCTGAAGAAGCCAAACTTGTGTGTTCAGAAGAAATTTGTACAGCCACTTTCCTTACCTTGGCCATCGTTACATGACTGTATAAACCGGACTACTCCATCACCCTCCCCCTAGAATAATTTTTCTTTTTAAAAACTATAATTGTCCAAATTATTTTATTCTTATGACCACTTCAACTTTAGTTACAAATTATCATTGTACAAATTGTTTTATTTTCTTTAACAATCTGTTACGTAATCAACCTGTGCACACGCTTATTCCTTAATTGCTCTTCATTTTTCCAAAATTATGCATTATGCAATCCACGTGTTGTAACCATTTCCACCTTTTAATTATACATATTAATTTTTCTTCGTTAATTATCACCCCATTGACATTTTGACACCGACTAATTATTGTTAACAAACATATCGCCACTTGATTGATAAATTGTTGTGTATTGTAATTAAAATGCTATATATATTAGAGTAGAGCCAGAGATGAAGCGTGGTATAGCGGTTAGCACGCTCGCCGGCCATGCGTATGGTCCGGGGTTCGATCCCCGGCCACCGACTCACTCCTTTACCTCGCTAAACCAGAAATAATGCTGGTAAAGAGGAAAGGTTGGGCATGAGGCTAGCAACCCCATCCTGTAAAAATTAAACATTGCTACAGAAACTTCAAGCCACTAGCTTGGAGCCCTATGTTCCACTGGGAACGTGAAGGAAAAATTATTATTATTATTATTATTATTATTAGAGCCAGAGATGAGGATCTAATTGAAAAGTAAATATTTCTTCGCTCAATCTTTCTCTTTATTCAAATCCATCAAGGGGAATAAATGCATGAAATATTCATATTATTATTACGACTGCTTGTGACAACTCATCACCTTTGTTACTACCCTAGTTTCACTAACACTTAATTTTCTTGACTTGTATTACCAACCTTCACTTGTTTAGTTAAAAGTAACCCTAACCAATTGTAATTTTGTTTGACAAACTTAATGTATACATACATACAAAACAATGCATATATATTTGCAATTGTACAGCTAAGAAAATGAATTCGCCGACGAGAAGAGACTCTTTGCTGATCTACGTGTTTTGTTTTCATTAACTGACTATTGTTCCATCATCCCATCTCACTTTTACTTGTTCCACAATACACTTTCTGATATGATTCTAATTTGCCTTTGCCTTTACTGGCTGGCTGGCTGGCTATTGTATATTTAAATTTATTAATGGATTTATAATTGTAGAGCCTGAAAAAGGAAGAATTTTCTGAAACTACAATTGTTCGCCCCATATATTTTGTTCTGAAAAAAATATATAATTCTTTGCTGAATAAAACTGTGTTTCCAGTATAGTTTATCAGCGCAATAATTTATAACTCAATGAAAATTAAGTTCACTAGGTCAGACTGTCAAAATATTATTGCGTTAAGCAACTGACAGACGGATAATTGAAATCAACAATCAACACATATGGTGATCTACTTTCATGTATTCAAGTGGTTGGCGAAATCACTGCCTGTAATAAAATAACTAGGCGAAATGGTAGAAATGAAATTGATAGACACCACGATTCAAATTAACAATTTGCAAATTTCCACCTAGTCAGACAGCAAAGGGTAGTTACTCGGCTATGATAGTGGTTGGCGCTTGCGTTAAATATATATATATATATATTACGAATTGGTAGAAGTTGGAATTCATGGACAAGACAGAGGTTATGAAAATAATTAACCAACCAACCAACAACAACAACAGCAGCAGCAACATCCAGCGTCAGTCACCATCAACGGAGGGATTTGAAAGAGGTTCTTCATTCACTTCAGTTATCTAGGGAGGATTGCCTCAACTACGGGAGCAGGAACAGACGAGGATGTCAAATCGAGCGAGAATCGGGAAAATCGCGAGAAACACATCTGTCAACCTGAAACCAATCTGGAAATCTTCGTCACTCAGCCAGCCGGCATCAACAACAAAATTCACTTGGATTTTCAATACAAACAACGTCAATTCAGTCAGTTCTTCTAAACGGATCAGAAAGTTGGCGGGTGGGTCACAAAGAATATTTCCAACAGCCTGTTGCGGACCTTTATCAACAACTTACTGTCTTCGCTGGATCTATACTGAAGATCAGATGGCCGGGCCGGAAAGAATCTCCAACAAGAAACTTTGGCTGGGAACAAACAAACAGAACAAGAAACAATCGCCAACCAACAAATATGCGGTAGAAAGTGGAGATGGATTGGACACTCGCTCGCTGAGGTGGCCGTCGCTGGGTGACATCGCGCGCGCGTCGTGCCATTGCTCGAGTGGAACCAGGCCGAGAGGGAAGCAAGTGGCGAGTGGGACGTCAGTGCAAGGGTGATATGGAGGAGATCGTGTGAAGAGAGGGGAGTTGAAGCAGTATGGACTAACATGGATGCAGGTGAAAAGTACAGCAGAAGGAAGACAGAAGTGGCAAGTGGAGACGTGCAGTTGAAGCCCTATGTTCCACTAGGAACCCAAGGGAACAATAATGATAATTGGGTCGCGTCCTAGTGGCCAAGTGGTTTACGCTCTCGATGTTTGGCCGGTAGGTCCCGGGTTCAAACTCCTGTGGTGATTGCATACTGATGAGAAGTCCCAAACTGTTGAGACGAAACTGTTGTCCAGTACTCCATACAGGTTTCAAACGGTTCTCTAGTTGATGTCAACTCGTAGTTAACCGAGTAATCGTTGATTACTGTGAAATTCAGAAGAGGGAACAACATCCGAATTCTTAACACTAACTTCAAGTCAGTTAGTTGGTCAGTGCTTCCTCTAAATGGTTCAGATACTTGATTCAAGGATTACGAAAAGTAGACTTTCATTAGCAACAACCTTCATTCGATACTGGACGGCAGAAAGGACGAGCAACAAGAGACTCGGGCAAGTGGTGAACTATCCATCAGCCTATTCCCCATCTAGAAATATATGAAAAAGGGAGTAAAGTGGATTTGATAATAGCTGAATAATCTCACATATATTATGTGCATTATTGAAACCCGGAATAGAGGCGACTAGTCGTGGCTCCAAGGGTGATATAGAGAAGATCATATAAAGAGGAAATAGACGCTCGAAGGTAATTGTGGAGCCATCTGAATGGGATTCCAGAGGAGGGAATGGGATGGGGATGTGCCGGCTGAAGCCTAATGATTTTCCAAACAGAATGGGAAGAATAGATGACATAATAATAATAATAATAATTCTAGTGTAAAATACGAAACGCAAACAACCATAGACTAATTCAACTCACTGTGATGTAGATGTCAGTAAATCCGGGGACTCTGACGTAGTTGACTCTTGTTCACTTGTTTCTGTAGTTTCGTCAATAGTTTCATGATAACGTTTACGGTCTACAGAAGTCAATGTTTCAGGCTTTTTCTTTATTTTCATCTGTTGGTTCTTTTTATTCTTCTTCTTTGTAACATGCAGTTTTGTTTTAGAAGAGGGTGAATTTCGTCTTGGAGACTAAAAGACACACAAAGGCAATTGTTAATATGTTATCAATTAATAGACAGTCTACAAGGATAGACTTTCCAAAGTGAAATTATGTAAATATATAAATTATGTTAGCAACAAAAAGAATATTTCCGAAAATGTGTCATTAGGAATGTAAATTTTATCAATTATGTAATGTAGAAAGCGTAAATAATAGATATCAGCTAAAGAACCACTGAAAACCAGCACTGGAGTAATGGACAGCCAGCTGTTTCATCCTAGTTTGCGAATCATCAGCAATACGCATCCACCACCAGGGTTTGAACCCAAGACCTTCCGGTTACAAGTCAAGCTAGCTCGTATACCATTCAACCACTAGGACCCGACTATTCATTGGCCAGTCCATGAATTCTAACTTCTACCAATTCGTGATTTAGCGTGACCCCAACCAATGTGGTCAGTGGGACATCCATCCACACACGTGACATCTAATTGGACCTCACTGGTCATGACTTCTTACTAGAAGTCACTCCAGGAAACTCCATCCTGTAGTAAGTCACTAGCGAGCATCAGATTAATTTTCTATAGTTTGGTTTGTAAGGGTTAGTTTTGTTTTTACGAGTTGATCACGGATTGATAGCAGCTAGAGACTTGCCACAGGATGGAGTTTCCTGGAGTTCTAGTGAGAAGTCATGACCAGTGAGGTCCAATTAGATGTCACGTGTGTGGATGGATGTCCCACTGACGACATTGGTTGGGGTCACGCTAAATCACGAATTGGTAGAAGTTAGAATTCATGGACTGACCAATGAACAGTCGGGTCCTAGTGGCTGAATTGTATACGAGCTAGCTTGACTTGTAACCGGAAGGTCCTGGGTTGGAACCCTGGTGGTGGGTGCGTACTTCCGATGACTTCTAAAACTAGGACGAAACATCTGGCTCTCCAGTACTCCAGTGCTAGTTTTCAATGGTTCTCTAACTGATATCAATCCGTGATCAACTCTTAAAAACAAAACTAACCCTTACAAACCAAACTACAGAAGATAAATAATAGAGAAGATTTGTAGCTCAGGTGGATAATTTAAAATTAGTAAAGTTCTCTGAACTGGTTGGTTTAGTTGCTGGGCTTTCGTCATCCTTCTGTACAACATGATCAAATAAAAAATAAATCATGTGACGATAAAGTTTAAAATCTGAGTCAATAAAAACCATCAGTACATATGTAAAGATGGTTACCGGGAGACGCAATTCTGTCACTCATGGAAAATTTAAATCAGTTCATTTTATGCTAAGAATTCAGCTGAAGAATTTGTCCAGCAGGTGGGACGACGAAAACTCTGCAGTTAAACCAACCAGCTCAGAGAACACTACTAATTCCAGACAGCATAAATCCTGTAGAAATTAAAATTCGACAGATGAAGCTGAAAAACGCATCACAAACGCACTGAGAGATCTTCTAAAGAAGAAGGAATTGACTGACAACAGTACTTACAATAACTTAAGACTACGAGGCTACAGTTTGCCGCACATGTATGGCCTTCTTATGACACACAAAAACAAGTCCCTCTGAGACTTATACTTTCGTTGATCAACTCGACTTAGTATAAGGTTACTCGTTGGCTTGCAGAGAAGTTGGAACCCATTTGTCAACGGCTGGATTTATACACCAGGAAGGACACATTTCATTTCGCCAAAAGTGTGAACCACATGAAAGTTTCAAATAAATTCATGGCTTCATTTGATGTAACCTCCCTATTCACAATGATTCCAATCAATGAAACTATTGAGATCATTTGTCAGCAGTCCGATCTTTTCCCACTCCCAGAGTTGGAATTCAAACGCCTATTGCTAATTTGTACCATGGATGTACAATTCCAGTTTGACAATACTCTTTACCGCCAAATAGGTGGTAATAGGTGGTGTAGCTATGGACAGTTCACTCAGCCCTGTTTTAGAAGATATATTCATGTCCAAACTTGAGAAAACAAAACTGAAGCATGCAATCGACCAAAACAATTTCTTATTGTCGATATGTTGATGACACATTTATAGTGTGCAACAATGAAAGTTATGCTTCCTACCTACTCAAATTATCCAAATATTGAATTTACTATGGAACATGAAAATGGTGGAAAGTTCCATTTCCTTGACATTGTCATGCAACGCCTAGGAGGTGGTAGTCACCAGGGTCAATTTACTGAAAGCCTACATGGAGTGGACAATACCTACATTTTAATAGTTTCTGTCCAAATAATTTTAAACAAGCGCTAGTAAATACCCTGTACTATAGAGCTAACAGAATATGCTCTACAGAGAAATAAGAGGAAGAATTTATAACTTTTGAAAAGATGTTGTAAAACAGCGATAACCCTCAGAGATTCATCAACAAATATAGAAGATGGGAATGCTCAAACATCAAACAAATCTCAGTGAAAATAAAGCCTGTCTTCATTGAACTCGATTTTAAACGTGAAAATATTGCAGCAATAGTCAACAGAAGACTGAATACTTCACTAGCTAGAGCCTGTCTTGTAGCTAAGCTGGTCCCCGTCTATCGGACAATATGCTCTTAGGTGCAATCAAAAGTCGACAGATATCCTTCTCATGTTTACTCCAACTGTGTATACAAATTTATGTGTATCAGCGGGAGCAGTTACATTGGGAGAATAGAAAGAAGGGCATTCTCCCCTACTTTCTGAACACGTACCAAAAAGCCTACGTCTTGAAAGGAACGAACGCTTGCAATAGTGCTATTACCAAGCATCTCCTTGATACGGGTCATGAGGTGGAAATTGCAAAATCCTTTAAAACCATTAACAGACAAATGACTTAATTCTCCCCAAGTTTGCCTAAGCGATCTCTATCAAACACATTTGAGACCCGATTTATGTGTTCAGAAAGAAGCAGTTATCAGTATTTCTTTGCCCCACCTGGTAGCTGGGTGTCTTTATTCTCTTTTTCATCTGATTACGTAATCCTTGACTTTAACCTCACCCCCCTTTTATTATTTGTAATTTTGCTTGTCTCTTGTTTCTATGATTTGAGTTCAACTCAGAGCATTGTTACCTAATTTATTAGTCACTCTGTATCTAACGCATATTTCGTCCTTATTATGTAACTCCTTTGCCATTCTATGCATACATTTACTGTGTTTAAACTTAAAATCCCTGTGCAAAAGCTATATAAGCCTAATTTTCTGAGCGCTGTTCACTAAGTCCAGAACCTCCTGTCAACTAACATCATGTAAAATTTGCAGGGATGTTAAAGCTTTTCTGTATATAAAACTCATAATTTATTTAGGCTGTAAGCACCAGCACCAACGAAAAAAGGCATTGATGGTACCATATTATTCTGTACAAACCGCCACTGTTGTTCTTGCTTTTACGAGCTTGACCATTGATTAATATCAGTTCGAGAACCATTGAAAACCAGCCTGAGAGTACTGGACAGCTCGCTGTTTCATCCTAGTTTGGGATTCATAGGCAGGGCGTACTCATTGAGTTTCGAACCCAGGACCTTCCGGTTACAAGTCTAGCTAGCTCGTATACCATTCAGCCACTGGGACCCGATTCAGTGACCAGTCCATGAATTCTAACCTATACCAATTAGTGATTTAGCGCGACCACCAACCAATGTCATCAGCGGGAACTCCATCCTCACACTTGACCGACTGGGCCTCATTGGTCACGAATTCTCACTAGAACTCCAGGAAGCTCTATCTAGTAGCAAATCTGGCTTTATTCAAAATTAAATAAGTAAACAGAGTGACATAGTATTAGTGAAGGGATTGAGTAGCATTCAACTAAAATCCAATGAGAGTCAAGTTAACAGCAGTGGTATTAAGGGGTAGAAATTTAGTGGGAAGATGGGGGGGGCTGAGGAAAGAAACCAGGAATTATGTATCCAGTATTAAGGTAAATGAGGTCCATTGTAGTTTAAAAGACTGAACAAACTCCTTTTGTATGCAGAGTTCAGGATTTAACATGAGAGTTTATTTCGTGACGACTCATCCACTTTTGCTACTGGCGCCTTTTACATGAAAAAGAGATTGTATATAAATGCGATTGTAGAGCTAAAGTGGAAAATCAGTTCGCCGCCGAGAACAGCCTATTCGCTAAACTATTTGTCTTGTTTTTATTAATGTTTGGGGTTGGAAATTTTTCATGAATATGAACAGAATTTTTTTTATTGCAGCTTGATTCCACACCGTACTTTTTGGTACAGGTATGGAATTTTCAGCATGTGATATCGGTAGCCCAAATTTCGCAGGCCAACCATAGATATCAGGTGTGCGTCGGCAGGGAATCGAACCCTGAACCATGTGCATGGTTAGCGAGGATCCTAACCACTGTGCCACCGACGCACTCGAAACGTCATACAGGAGGGTATTAGAACTGCATCGCTGTGTATCACAGCATAAAACAAACTTTGGATTGTATTCTATCACAGTACTCAATTTCTCTTCCTACATATCAGCTGGTTTATAGATGTATGGACACATCTGGGTATTAGACGATTCTTCTGAAAATAATTTTATTTTTAGCAAGCTGAATGAAGAGCTTCTACTCACATCATGGATTTGTACTATTTCCTAGATTTTAAAATGTTAGTTAGATCCCATAGCATGCGTCGGTGGCACCGTGGTTAGGATTCTCGCCGACCATACACATGATCCGAGGTTCGATCCCCTGCCGACGCACACCTCATATCTATGGTCGGGCTGAAAAATTTGGGCTACCGAGATCACATGCTGAAAATTCCATACTTGTGCCGAAAATACAGTGTGGAATAAAGCTGTAATCAAAATAAAAAAATAAATAAAAATAACAAAGATTACAGGAATTAATCATGAGATGATATTGTCTGGGGAACTATTGGAAAACCTGGGAGTACTGGACAGCTAGTTGTTTCGTCAGTCTTGTTTGGGACTCTTCACAGTACGCACTCACCACAGGGGTTCCAACCCCAGGATATTCCGGTTACAGGGCGAACTTGTACACCATTCAGCCACTGGAACTCGACCAATTGGT